CTGTCTGTCATCTATGTATCTATCTGTCTGTCTATCTATCTATCTATCTCTCTATGTATCTATCTATCTCTCCATGTATCGATCTATGTATCTATCGATGTATCTATCGATGTATCTATCTATCTACCTATCTACCTATCTATCTATCTATTTATCTATCTGTCTGTCTGTCCATCTATCTATCTATCTATCTATCTATCTATCTATCTATCTCTCTATGTATCTATCTATCTCTCCATGTATCGATCTATGTATCTATCGATGTATCTATCTATCTGTCTGTCTGTCTGTCTATCTATCTGTCTAGCCATCTATCTATCTATCTCATCTACCCAGCTGGCCTCTCTCTCTCTCTCTCTTTCATCTAATTACCTACCTATCTATCCATCTACCTACCTACCTATCTATCTATCTCTCCCTTTCATCTGTCTATCTGTCTAGCTGTCTACCTGTCTATCTGTGTTGCAGTGTCATTCAGTGCAATGTAGTGCGGTGTAGTGTAATTTAGTGTAGTGGAGTGTACTGGAGCGTAGTGTAGTGTAATGTAGTGTACTGGAGTGTAGTGTAGTGTAATGTCCTGTAGTGTAGTGAAGCGAAGCGACATCTGAACCTCCAAAAGTGGTCCGAACCCCTGGTGTTTTTAACATTTTGACTTCGAAATGTGCTTCGCGCCACAACGGCGTGCACTTTTTCGACATCTCAACTTCCAAAAGTGGTCCGACAATGGTGTGTTTTGTGCATTTTGACTTGGAAATGCGCTTCGCGCCACAACGGCGTGCACTTTTTCGACATCTCAACTTCCAAAAGTGGTCCGACAATGGTGTGTTTTGTACAGTTTGTCTTGGAAATGTGCTTCGCGCCACAACGGCGTGCAATTTTTCATCTCTCATCTGGCCAGCTGGCTCCGCACCCGCCGCTTTAGCGAGCCTACTTTTCGACCCTCCGGAGCCCCAAATCATTGGAAAAACGCAGTGTTTCGCGACTTTCGTACCTTTTCTCGCATCTGCATCTTCTTTCTTCTTACTCTTTCTCTTCTACTCTTCTTTCTTCTAATCTTTCTCTTCTCTCTGCCTCTTCCCTGCTCTGCTTTTCATTTGTCCATATTGTCGGAAGTTTGACTTCTAAACTTCCTTCGATAATATCTATATGATTTAGAATTATATTTAATAATTTTAAGATGTCTGTTACATAAATTATTATATATATATATAAATATTATAGAAATTATTAAATAAATATTATATGAATAATCATATAAATAATGGTCCAAATTATTTATTATTGTATATGTAATAGGTATGGTCAAAGTAGGTGTCGGTTGTAAATTTTTATTTTTTCCATGTTGTGTCAATATTGATGAATATAGGATATCGGTAAATGGGTAATCCCCTATCGGTCGATTTTTTTTCGTATTCATCCCAAGCCGATTGCTACATTACAGTAGTATGCTGCTAATTTTGTGTCGGTTGCTCATATATTTAGATGTTTACGTCGGGATTTGGGTACAGTAGCTGCGCCAATTCCAGTTACTACTCGCTACTCAATGTACGTTGTAGAATACACAAATCAGTACAGCAAAATCACTAAGACAATATAACCAAAACCAAGTGCCTTTTTACTTTTTCCACACAAGAAGAGTCAAACGAAATGCTTCAAAGATCTTCAAAGGTTTATTGATTGCTATGGAGGAAGCTGGAGCAAGCCCTGTGCGGCTAGGGAACAAGCGCAAAATATTCTTGGAGCTGGCTGGGAACTTCTTGCCATCAACGTGGAGCGTCATACGGCTTTATTATCGAAGTTTGTTACTCATACAAAGTAATTACTGCATATTAATGCACAGTGTGGCAACAATTTCAAATCACCTTTTTTGCTGCACTGCAAATTGTTACTTTGCACCACAAAGTACCAAAACTGCACTAATTATATACACAGCACAAACTTATTGCACGTCACAGGGTGTCACTGTCAAGTACTTGGAAGTATCTAGTGGCACTTACAGGATGCCGACTAGTCCTGATAGGAACTCATATCTTGGAAGCAAGCACAGGCCCATGTGTGTCGGATGCGCTTTCTCATATGGTTCGAGATGGAGCTTGGAGGGAATATGCAGCCTGCAAAGTACTGGTGTAGATAGCCTTCTATTTTGCTATTATAGAATCATATCATACAGTATCATATCATATCATATCATATCAATCTGATCTATTTGGTTCCATTCACCAACAAACATAATGCAATAATCATACAGTGGCTGCATGGCTTCATGGATTCATCATGTTATTTTATCTTTCAGTTTTGCGTCATAAGCTGTCTCTGAGCAGGAACAACCGGAACAACTGGAACAACTTGACGTTGCACTGGCATCACTGGCACTGAGAAGCTGGATGGATCTGGACGGCTTGTCAACGAATGTCAACGACTTGCCCCGATTGTTTTGCCCTTGAACTTCCCGAACTCACCGAATCTTGCTGCCTGTGAGATCTTCATAGCAATCTTTCTACGCGTGCATAGCCGGATCCTTGCTCAAGTACTTTTCATGCTGCGTCTTTCAGTGAATCTGCAAAGTAAAGTGACACCTTTGACAGTTTGACATTGCTTCAATGACAATGAAATGAGATGAAATGAGTATCAAACATCCATGCCAGCAGTGGCCAACACGTTGGACGGTCCATTCGAGCTTCAAGTGAGAGAGTGCCCAAAGGACAGGTCTCTGGCTGCATTGACATTCCATGATTCACCGACTTGGTCACTTGGCCTCACCAGCTTTCCTTACTCCCTTACTCCGTATGACCACGATCAAAACCGACCAAGCCGAACAAGTCGAATGGCTTCAAGTCTCTGCACCAGCAATGGGCGACAAAAAGGTGCTGCTCTTCCTGTTCGCACATCAAAATCACCAAACGCCTATCAACACGTATATGAAAATAATTGAAAATCATGCTTTGTCAAAGGTTGTACGTGCCCCAGCACCATCGTCGCTCAGCTTCTTCTTGACAGCCAAGTTCCAAGACTCGTCCTGATATTGTAAAGGACTTCCATGCCTTGGTGGGGCCCTCGCAAAAATTGGATTGGCAGCCAACGTCGTCCATGACAAGGAGAGCTCCTTCAGTAGCAAGCATTGACATATGAAGCAAGTCCGACAGTGCTTCTTTCTCAGCATGCCCACCATCTATGAATATCAAGTCGCATTTGCTTTGCAAATTTGAGAGTACGAAATTGGGTATGGACAAGTTGGATGGCCCTTCCACCAGGATGTGGCGGTGCGGGAAGGCCAAACGAACCAGTCGGTGACAAGCTGGAGTGTAGGATTTTGACATTAAATCAAAAGAAATCATGGAAGCATCGATTGCAGCACTCAGCAGCATCGCCAACGCTGAATGCCCTCCATTGAAGCCCACCTCGCACATGCTGCGAACCTTTGCAGAAGCTGCTTGTTCTGCCAACCACCACGCCTGAGTGATGGAGGACATACTCTCTATCCGTACATAGCCATCAGAATCCGCACCCAAGCTGGCAAACATAACGTGGGATGCCACTGCATGAGCAATGGCCACCAAAGTGCGATCCCCACGTGGCAAGACTTGCGTCAACCATTGCAAATCTTTGGCCAAACTCATTAGCCAGTGGCTTCGTGACTGGTGTGGATGGATTGTGTGGATCGTCTGGATTGTGCGATTGACAGTGCGAAGACCTGTTGCTTCAAGGCTGGCCACAATTTCAAAAATGCCAATATCTGCGAGTGCTCGGAGGATTCCAAGCTCTCGAACCCCAATTGGCTCAGACATCATCTGCTGATGTATCTTGTAACTTGGTTCAAGTTTGCTACCCAGCTGGTGAATTGCTGACCAAGTTTTCCCATCAGCAACATCTTGCAAAACAAGATGTAGACTGGGATCTGTTGATGAAACGTATTCGAAAATCACTTGACGAAGGAGGCCCACTTCTGTCAGCAACATGCCCCGCCGGTCAGCGAGCTCTCCATCTTCTGCATGGACAGAAACTGCCAGGAAGTGAACTATCAGCAGGAACAGGAGGCACACATCTAGACACGAGGCTCGCAACATTCATGAAACTACAAGCAGTTTTGCAAACTCTGTGTTCGAAAGATATACTAACGTCTTCAGCATTTCTGAATTTTCTGAGAAGGGCTAATGCTGCTGTAGCCAGCCTGTTGCAACAGTTCTTTAATAAGTGACTGCATGATTTGGACGCTCGCACAGACATATGCATAAATTCGTGCAAGCCACAGTGTAGCTTCTGGCTGCAAATGTTGACCCAATTTTGGGGATTTGGATAGAATCAAAACAGGAGACAAAAGGTGGACACAGTGCCAGAAAATGTCTCTGTGTCTGCTCACAAGACTTCCCATGACTTGCCCTGGAAAGTGATTTGGATTGTCCCACAAATAGATGTGGATGCATGGGTATAAGTCGAAATCGGGTACTCGGGTACTCCCAGAATTAGATAGTAAAAACAAACAAACACACACACATGTATATATATATGTATATATATACATAGATATGCATAGATATACATAGATATACAAATACACATATACATACACATTTACATATACGTTTACATATACATTTACATATACATGTACATGTTATGTATATGTACGTATACATATGTAGTTATATATGTATACATACGTAAATAAGAAATCAAACAACAAGCAAGACTGGTGGTCTCCTGTCCCAAACATTAACCACTGTTTACCCACCAAACATTGGAGGTTCGTCGAAGGACGCGGCTTTTGACACTGCAAGCTCAGCATTCAGTTCTGTCAAACGGATGCTGATGGCTTGTGCTCCACATGGACTTGATGCCCTGTTGTCTGATATTGTTTTGACTGAAAACTTGGCCAGCTGATCCTATTCGATAGCTTTGTCTTGCCATTCTTTTCTTCAGCAACGCAGGTTTTGGGATACAGTAGCACGGAAATGAGGTTGAAAGGATGCAAGTATATAAAGATTGTATGTGCAGAACTGGTCCTAGAATTCATGCTCTGGCAAATAAGGGTTTTAAATGAATGCGCTGGCTTCCCCAAGGCCGCCAAAGGATTCCGGGTTTATAAGGATGGAGTTTGGTATCTCGAAGGTTCTGACAGGTTTTTAAGCAGAAACACAACAAAATTCTCAATCTGAGGGAGGTGCCGCGGGATTCCATGCTAGTGAAGGCTGCAATAAGAGCCTGCACAGGCTCCAATGCAAGGGTTTCGCCGATCATTGAGGCATGTTTTGAATTTGTTTTGAGAGGTTCCTACAAGTGGCACTGTCGCATGCAGAACTTTGTAACACGGGATAATTACAATCATGAAGTCGCAGTTTTTAACTCTACCGTAAGCAAAATGCGGTCGCATCGCCCATCCTCGCCCTCCAGCTGTTTGGTCAAGTTCCGGGATTTGGGCTGTTCCAACTAAGCTGATGGCAAGCAGGTTTTAGGAAACCCTACCCAAAGTGCAACTTTCAAATTTATCACAGCTCAAGGCTTGTGCTTTAACCAGTTCCGAACCAAGGTCTTTGGGCATCTAGCTCTTGGGTCGTCAATTCTTTCAATGTACGATTGCTACAGTGGACTCAGAGAGGCCGTGCTGCATCACACGTCCTGGCACTTCAAGGTGCAGCATTGAACCATCAACCAGGAAGTTACACAGCGCTGAAGTACCCAAAATCCAAGATGATCCAAAATGTACCACAAATGGGCCACTCTGGCACAGCTCTTGAAGAGGCCTCCATGGGCCGTTCCTCCTCTTGCTTCCTTCGCCTTCCATGAGTTTCGCTATGCTGAGGGCTGAGGCTACTTCAATCAGCACACCAAGTACTTTAAAGACATCAAAGGAAGGTTGAAAGCCAACGCCCAATAAGGAAACTTCGGAATAGCCCGAAAGTGCAAGTAGCACATGACCTCCAAACCACCAAACCATGGAGGCAAAGAGATGGAAAGATCCGAACAAGTGCAAAGGCAGATTGACAAGTTGCACGGCCGTATTTCCTCTTGCATTTAACATCTTGCAAGTAAAGACCTACTGCAGGCTGTATACTACCAAAACATACCAAAACAATCCCAAACGCTGATTTTGGAAGGAACGCATGGCTCCAGATCATTTTAAGCCGCTATACACACACACAGATATATATATATATCACATTTATTTAGCAAACACTTTGTCCCCACCCCATACCCTCCAACACACACTACACACTTCAGCGAACTACATCTTCAGCGAGGCTACCAGCTTGCTCTCCCAAGTCAAGAAAGATGCCAACACTTGTGACTAGCGACTGGCGAGCGACGGCTAGCAACTCTTAGCAACACCGGTTGTTACATCCAGCGCCTTCGCATCTCACCGCCTTCGGTTTCAAGCCTCTCTGTCCGAGGAGCTGAGCCTAGAACTTTAGATTCCACCTCACAGGAATTGGTCAAAGTCACAGCAACACTGGATGTAATGTGGATGTATTATGATGTACTGTTGCCTTGAATTGCCTTGATCACAATAGAAATTGAAACCACGACTTTGCCGATGACACTGCCGAATCAATTCTACAGCCCCTGTTGGAAGGAAAACAGTCACCCAAAACACAACCGCAGAAGCACAGTCAAAAAATGGCCAAGTTATTTGCATAGCAATTTCTCATGCCAAAAGCTAAGATGCTAGAAGCGATCAAGATTGTGCCAAACTGAAAACATACGACCACTTGCACTATGTCTATCTTGGCATGGAATTCAAGTCATATATTACATACAAGTATGCTCTAAACTTTAAACAATGACAGCCATGGGCTCGCTGACAGGACAACTGGCCTGGTCGCTGATCTCGTTGATTTTCGTGTCCACTTTGAGAACGAAAGAACGCAAAATGCTATTGCCAGTGAACCTTGGAAAAAAAACGCATCTCTTTGGCGGTCTAGAAGCTACGAGAACCTTTTTGACGATGTCCTTTGAAAACCCTGGAGTCTGTAACAGTCCGTACTATATCTGCTTTCCTGGCAATGCTTGGACTTTGGTCCGGACCTATAGTTCAGGAAGTCTAGAAAGAACATGATCTCGACAAGGCCGCCAATCCAACTCTGGATATCGGAGTAGCGCGGCATGTTGATCTGACGCTTGTGGCCGCCAATGACAGCGGTCAATATGCCGAGCTTTTCGGCGTTTCGTTTGCGAAATGATGGAAAACGTCCATGCAAACACGTCACAAACACGTCACCTTCTTGTAGATCCAGTTGAGCGCATAGAATACACGGTAGCCCCCAAGCATGACCACGTAAAGGCTTGTGCCCCTGGCTTGTATGCCACTGGAATCAACAACAATTTGATAATCTGATATCTCTTGAGCTCCAGACACATCTTTGTTCACGCGCTCTCTATAGCAGAAAATATATTGAGGTACCTGTCATCAATCAACTTCAGAATGCAAATTGTGAACTCAAGTTTTGGAGCTCCAAACAGTCTACCTGAAAAAGTACACAGATGCAAGGGAGAGAAACTAAATGACGTGGGGCGAAAGTGCACAAGAACAAGATTTTCACCAAGCTCTGTGGTCACCAATTTAAACATACGGGAGATATTCCTTTCATCTCATCCAGAATTCAAATCTGTCAGGCAATTTGTAAAGTCAAGCCATCAAACAGGTGGGGCACCATTGCAAAGCCTTCTATGAATTCAGAGAAAGTCCACAGGACCTTCGGATTATGGGACACGATTGGTGCGATGCAACCATAAGAGCAAGAGAGCGAGAGAGAGGCAGCGCTCAAAAAATCTAGACCAAAATGATCCAAAATGCAGTGCAAATGCATCAATCTCGGTGCATTGAATGCAGTGCATTGCCTCCAAGGGCGAATAGTCGTTCGTCAAGAGCAACGCAGCGATGGAGCAAGGCACCAAGATCACAGTCATGTTGCAGGTATCATGCCTGCACGTCAGACGTGCCAACTCACGCAGCCAGCTTGCCAAAGGATCCAAAAGGACTATACGCAGAGGTATGCGGAAACTCTACGCCTCTATGAAAATGCATTGTATGGGTCAAGAGTCCTTTGAATTGAGCCATCTTCAGCCTAGTAACTCCTTCCAAGTGGCACACTTTGTAAGGGAACTCACAGCACAGTCAAAGAGAACGTGATGTGCAAAAAATAAAAATGTTTGGAGATCAAACGAAAACCCAAACCATCTTCCAGAAAGATCCAAAAAAAACTTGCTAAAACAAGCAAAGGCCAACAAGGCTGAACTGGATAGAAACCTCTCAGGACTTTGGGCTGGCCTTACCAGTGAACCAACATTATGTTCTACCACATGTCTGAAAGTTTGAAACTCCGAAGTAGCTTTAAAGGCCATCAAGATCCAAACCCAGAGAGAACCTGCTAGAGGAACTTTTGCTGTGCAATCCTGTTTGTTTCTCTTGCAAACAGGCGTGCTGGACAGTTATATATGCCGTGCGAGCAGGAGCAATGTAAAAGCAGCAATCCGCTCTATTGTATCCCTCCAAGTAAACCATCGTTTATTTGAGGCAGTCGCGACCCATAACCTACAAAATTCGTGAGATCTCCGCTTGCCATCCAAAGAACACTCAACAGAAAGACTTGCGTCACGACATGGCTCAATCCTCACAGGCTTGTTCCAAGGTATGTTTGTCTCCTTTCATATTTCACAATGTCTGCGTAGTTTGCATCCTAGTTTGTTCCGTATAGCAGGTTTGCAGTAGGTATGTAATTGGTACCGCGCAGAGCGGTGGCGGAAGTTTCAAAGATAGGAAACTATAGGAGAGGTGAGTTCCTGTGATGCATGATGGCAGAGCGAACCCGCTGATGGATCGAAAGATGGTCGAGGCTCTGAGTCTCTCTCCGTCTCTTTCTTGAACTCCCTCGCTCTGTCACCTTCTCCCTGTGTCTCTCTATCTCTCCCTCTGCATATCTATTTATCTATCTCCAGTGTGGTGTAGCGTAGTTTTAGTTTTAGTTGTGCGCGTGGTTGTAATTGTAGTTGTCATGTAGTGGCAGTGGTAATTGTAGCTGTAGTTGCAGTTGCAGTTGCAGGTGTGGTTGCAGTGCAGTGTAGTCCAGTGTAGTGTAGTGCAATATAGTTGAAACCTAGTGCAGTTGCAGTTGCAGCTGGGATGTAGTTGTAGCTGTAGTTGGAGTTGTTGTAGTGTAGTTGTAGTTGCAGACCTTCACGTTTTGCTCAATTTTGGCAAGGTGATGAACCCCTTGTGCCTGTCATGGAAAACACATATGAACGTCCAAAAAATGGTCCGAGACTGTCAGTTTTTACACGTTTGAGTTGCAAACGTGCCTCGCCACAGCAGCGTGCACTTTTTCAACATCGCAACTTCCAACAGTGTCCAAAAGTGCTCCGACACTATGTTGTTTTGGGCATTTTCACTTCCAAATATGCTTCGCGCCACAACCGTGTGCACTTTTTGAACAGCTCAACTTCCAAAAGTGCTCCAAGCGCGCGATGTTTTTAACATTATCACTTCGAAATATGCTGCACGCCACAGCCGCGTGCGCTTTTTCAACAGCTCACCGTCCAAAAGTTCTCCGGAGCTGAGGTGCTTTGTATATTTTGACTTCGAAATCGAAAATGCGGTTCGCGCCACAGCGGCGTGTGCTTTTTCAAGAGCTCAACGTCCACAAGTGCTCTGAACCTGAAGTGTCTTTGACATTATTTTGACTTCAACATGTGCTTCGCGCCACAGCCGCGTGCAATTTTTGATCTCTCATCCGACCAGATGGCTCCGCACCCGCCGGCGGGCCTACTTTTCGACCCTCTGGAGCCACAAAATAATGGAATAACTTGTTTCGCGACTTTTCTACCTTTTCGCGCGCCTGCACCTTCTGTCTTCTTCCTTTCTCTTCTCTGACTCGTCGCACCTCCGCTTTTCCATCTGTCCATATTGTCGGAAGTTTGACTTCTAAACTTCCTTCGACAATGCTTTTGTCAATTTGAATACTTTTTAGTCAGGACAGAAGGGTGGAGGATGTGGTTCTCCACTTGGGGATCGGGTGTTGCTCTTTGTTGCAGTTCTTTGCCAGCATCATTCATATGAGATTCCACATGAGCAAGGGCACACACTTGCAGACACGCTGCTTGCACCGCCATCACGATATGTACTGAGTGCAGTTTCTCCCATTAGAAGTCGCTTGACATTTACACATTCGTTTAGCGCACATGTCTGGTCGCTTCTCGTGCTCCCCGGGCAACTGCCTCCGGGCATACGTGCTGTCATAGTTGTAAAAGAGGGCAAGAACAACGATCGACGTAGCGATGTACCTGAGGTAGCAGGCAGACAGACAGACAGAAAAGCTGACCGTTACAAGAAAAACCACCAGTGCTCACGTGAGCTTGAAGAACACCAAATAGAAAGACTGCGCGTGGTCCAAGAGGTCCAAGTACCTAGCAATTTCAAGCCAGTCCAAGAAGTCCAAAATCTGCAAACAACACCGGAAAACCAATCCTTCAACATGTCATGACTTCAGTTGCACATACAGTTGTCCGCGCTGAGCACCGGGTGATGAACACGATGCAGTACAAAATCTGGGTAGTCCTGCATAAATCTGATAGCGCTCATATACATAAACAATCATATAAACAAAATCATATAAACATAATCATATAAACATAATCATATAAACATAATCATATAAACATAATCATATAAACATAATCATATAAACATAATCATATAAACATAATAACATAACCATAATCATACAATATCATATATATATATATAAACAACCATATATATATAATCATATATGTATAAAATCATTCATGTATATATATATGTATAAAATCGTATATATATGTATATATACACATAACCAAATATAAATAAACATATTTTGATTATATGTAAAATCACACATATATATATACACATTTAAAAGCATACATAGAAAAACACATATATATATATATAAATAATCATATAGCTATTAATCACACACACATATATATACATACACATAAGTAAGTATGCGTGTGAAATCAAATACGTAATCATATATATATATATAGATAGAGTAGTAAAAAAACATGTATATATTTAGATAAATAGGCATATGCATAAAAATATATGCTAATATATACATAATCATATATAAACGACCATACATACACATATACATATACATACCTGTATATATATATACAACACGTTATATATATACATATATATATATCCATATATAAATGTAAATACATAAATACATGTACATACATATGTAAATACAAATGTATATGCAAATGTATATACATATGTAAATACATACATACATACATTACAGTACATAACATAACATAACAAAACAAAACATAACATACATACCAGTTACCATTACATACCATTACATACCATTACATACCATTACATACCATTACATTACATTACATTACATTACATTATATATATACGTATGTATATAGAATCATGTATATATATATATGTAATCATAGATTTGAATTCATATATATATATAACTAACCAAATATACATAATCATACATATACAGTGTATATATAGTCATACATATAATCATATGTATGTATGTATATATATCTATATATAATTATATATATATAGGCTGAACAACTTGGGCAAACGATTTTCCAGTTGCAAGCAAGAACGTCCAACGTTTCAGTACCAGAGCGTACACACCTTACAAAGCCTTTCAGCCTAGTGCAGGGGCTTTCCCTGTTGTCCCGCGTGGCATGATGTCGCATGATCCAGCGTTGCCCAACTACAACGTAGATTCAGCCCGCGAACACTCTCTTGTAGACTTGTAGCTGACTCTGATTCTGTGTCTGGAACCAACACTTCTCGCACCCAACGCACAGTGAGCTAGCAAGCCAGTCCTAGATATTCCAGCAACTGACTTGTTTCTCGCAATAGTAACCAATAAGGTGACGATCCTTGCAGGTCAGGTTGAGCAATCAAAGATATCAGAAGGCAGTACAAGACTTCAACAACGCACTAAGGTGAATTCCCACCCAGGTGAAGGTAGTCTCCAATGTAGCGGAATATGTTCCTCCATGCAGAGCACGCAGAATCGACCACGTCAAACACGGTTGGAAGCGGAGGGAACGCGTTGCATTCAAACCGCAAAGCATGCATCCAAAGAAAGGCACTGACCACGAATAGGCCGCAAAGTTCACAAAATTCGACCTGAAAGGATATGATTTGTAGATATTGGGACAAACCACCTGAGCCGATGAACAGTCTAGTGAGACTGAAGCCAGGTATCCAAACTCTGCACGGCCTACGGAAATCGGCAAGCACTAGGAGCGCTGCGGACCATGGAGCTTGTCCATGGAGTCTAAGACCTGCAAAGTCCGGACATCTCCAGAAAGCAAGTGCAAACATGTGAGACATAGTAAGACTTGAAGACAAGGGACACTCGTCCTTAAAAGGCTTCATTCGGCAAAAAACGTTGAAGCTGGGTGAAAGTGAAGAGCTAAAGCCATGAGAAAGAAAGCAGTCAAAGGAAAAACATGTCTTTCGCTTATAATCTGAAACTTGGCATTGCTTTGCCCATCTTGATTCCACATCTCTTTTTGCCATTTGCGTGAAGTATGTGCAGCGTTGCGCAACGACATAGTCCTGCAAAGTCCTCACGTCTTCTTTCCATGGTCGCATATTATATGTCTATGTCAGTACAACGGTGCTTGTGTGCATGTACGCGTCTGTGTGCACATGAGATGTGCGGGCGCAGCCTGCTTTGTCGCTCCAACTTCCGCTGCCATTGCTGAAGGGGCCTGCAAAACACTCAGGCGACAGTCAAAACAGAACAGAGATGAAACATGCTCTCAACACTAGGTCCTAGCCCGCGAATGCCTGCTCAAGGTCCTGCATTGGTCCAACTGTGAGTAAAAAGTCGTTGGAACCTTTGATTTGAACCCGTCCACCTCCGATCCTTCTCCTACAGCCTTCCCAAAGTATCCTGAAAACTCACTTTGGAGACCTACTTAAGACCCAAACCTGAACGGTGATGTGCAGCCTTTTGAAAGTCTCCAAACCTCTTGCAACTTCTAGAGCGTCCCTGCAACCTCCTATACTCCTTTTTTTTCCTTGTTTACTGCCGCAATGTACTGCAGGGGGAAACAATCTCCGGTGGTAGAAACGCTGAGAAGGACTTTAGAAAGCCCCTGCAGAATACGATCGAGTGGAGTCGTCGGTGCGCAAGGACAACCCAAGACATGGAGAGGGTTTCAGAAATGTTTGTCGGCTGATAGCAAATCTAGAATGCATAAAGATGAGACGAGAAAAAATGAGGTGTGATGAGAGTTCCGTCATAAACTTGGTTTCGGATATGCGATATAGAAGCGAAAGGCTCAAAGGCCTTGTCCCGAGACCTCAAGCCCTTGCAATGCTTGCGAGTGTAGAAAGTCAATTTGCTTGGCGGATGCAACAAAGTCTGTCGGGTCTGTGCCAAAACTAGCCCACGCAGTCTTCAAAGTTACGAAAGCCCAGTTATGTCTTTAAGACCAGGCCAATGAAAAGCGTAGCCAAAGTGTTGGTTCCAGCAAGAATATAACCCCACGCATTGGACTTGAACCTCAGGAGATGACCTCGTAGTTTCCTAGTTTGCAAGACTGAGCTGACTGTCATTTGAATCCTTTGTTGAGAAGCTACATCAGGAACCCTAGCATTGGTCCAGTCTGTTGATGAAAGTTGGCGGTAACTTCAACACGCTGAAGCTTCAGAACTGCCAGTTGTCAGGATTGTGTCAAAGAATGTCAAAGCTCTTACGAACAATCTCATTGCCTCAAGCAAGTCACAACCTGGAGACCTGGAGCCTTTCTTCCGCTGTCACGGAAAACAACAGGAACATCTTGCAGCACTTCCCATGAATAAGCAACGTACAGTAGCCTATAAACAGCAGAAAAAACACTGGCAAAATAATGTCGTTTCATATGCAAACGGGTTGCATCATGCAGTATGCAAAGAAATCACACCGAATCGGGTAGCCTTTGTCACCTTCGAGCTTCCCAGAGACCACACCTTCTACAGGCCATCCC